TTTAAAAATGTTTTGCTTGCCAATCCATCCTCTTAGCTGCATCAGTGAATAAATGACAGTGGAACTGGCAATCTTGAACATTAGCATGGCAAACAAAGGCAACGATTTACCATTTTGCTCAGAGGTCAGAGCAGTCATAATAAACCTGATCACATTTGGGTTAATTTGTCAGTTTGGAATGAGTAAGGAGTTCATTGGACTGACATTTTAATACAAGATCCCTCAACTCACCTTTTTCTGAGGGCAGCTACCCATTAGCAATCTCTTCATTCCTGAATGTATGATGCAATCTGGACACAAAAATAAATGCACACATCTGGAAAAAAAATGCCCACAGCAATATATACAGTCAATGACACAATGCACAAAAACTATGTGTGCCAGTCTTTACAGACAATAAAAATACAACATTCTGTATAGGACATGTATTTCATGTGTAGAACTGTTGTCTGTGCAGTCAACTTGTTTTCTGTGCAGAAAAAAATTCCCCCAAATAGTTTTGAATGTTGAAACAGTTTTTCCCTGTAGAGATTTCCAATGTGAAGTTGAAGGCTTTCATGGCCACCATCCATAGTTTTGAATGTTCTTTCTCTCCCTCCCTCTTTAACTAATATAGCTCCATCCTGGGATTTGCAGTTTTGCATGGCCACTAAAGCAACTCAGTATCCCTCTCTAAACTTCAAATCCCAGGATTCCGCAGGCTGAAACTGTGGCAGTTAATGTGGAACTATAGTGCTATAATATGAAAGTGATCCAAGTGTTAGCAAATTGTCCAGTATTATAGCAGCTGTCCAGGTGCTGAACTCTATTTCCATTATAGTTCTGTCACTGCATCTAAACTCCTATAACATATGGATGATTTGCTTGCAGCTGGAGGAAATCCAGAGCAGCTGATATTAAATTTATTTTAGTATTTGTTTGTTTGTTTGTTTGTTTCCATTGGTGGTGGTCTATGTATCTGGATTTCTTACCCTGTCTTCACAAATACACAACCATATCCATAATCTTAAAATTGTTACTGTTGATGGCCTGTGTCTTTCCCAGTTTTATCTCTTTGTATAAAAATCGATGGAAAGATTTAGACAAACTAATTCTTGGTTTACGCTTTTCTTATCATTCAAATTGGGGGTGCAAAACTATAGAAATCCCCCCCATACACACACAAATCAAGTGTTTGTGGGATATACTCACACTTTATTCTACCAAATTGAAAGTGAGCATTTAAACAAAAGTGTTTGGGGTGAAAAATACTGTACAGAGAACATACTGTGTGTGGGTCTTTCAGGAGCTGGGATTTACCCTTTCATGGGTTTACAGGAAAGAAAGTCCAGGGAGTCTGGAGTGGTTGGAGGCCACACAGATGGATCTGAGGGCTGGACTATGTTGTCTTGTAAATATACGTGCACACAACAATGGATACCAGCAGAGGCTGCATTTGTAAGGCAAGGAAGCCTGGCATTGGGATTTTATAGATGTGCATATCCCTAGGAAGTACAAGAGAAGGATGGAGGAAAGCTTCATCCTTCAACCATTCCTTCTTTCTTGCATCTGCTGTATTGTCAAGATGGAGGAACACAGACGGGGGAAAAAGTTTGTTGCTCTCAAGTTACTTAGTGGATGCATCTTCAGCCCAGAAAATGGCAGCAAACCAGTTTGTTAAGTGTGGATTGGCATGAGGCAAGCCCATTAAAAACAAAAGGTGTGGAAATAACAACCTCAAGGAGTTGGCAATGAAAACTCCCCAGGTCCCTGTGCATCATCCTTAACATCTTTACTCTCATTCACTGGGTTAGGAGAGCTCCCCTGGCATGTGATTGAAAGACAGCTCATGCTTTAGAAACTCTAGTTTCTCCATGGGAAAGAACAGATAAAAACAAAATACTTGTTAGGTCAAGAAAACAAGCAAAACTGGAGAACAGCCCTGCCTTTCAATAGAGACACTAATGATGTCCCACCGAAGAGGATCTGTAGCATGTTCTTTGTGAAGACATGATGGAATGAATGGGACTTCTATACATACTGTGCTTGGCTTGAAACTCCAGACAAATTTGCTGGAAATGTATGAACGTTCCCCTCCAGACCCCTGTAAATAAATCCTAACATTTTTGCCAGGATATAACAAACCATCTTCTGTGGTTAGAACAATAATAGGCAGCAGGTTTAACATAAAGAAGAGAAAATACTTCTTTGAATGATACATGCACAATCTATGGGATTTAGTGTCACTGACAGTTGCAGTGGAGGGAGATACATGTGTGCCCCTACAATGAGCAAATTTCTACAATACTGTCTATTCTATTAATCTTGCAGCAATGCTGTCATTTTAGGGTGCTGACAAGTCAATCATGTTCTCATCTGAGCTACTGTAAGTTCACACGCTTGCCTATATACACACACCAGGGATGGTTTGAACTATAGGTCCCTTCAGATTCACCCAGCATAGGCAATAATTAGTTTTTTGGGAGTTGTAATCCAGAGACTCTGGGAGGACACTGTGTAGTATTAGCCATAGAATAAGCTGTAAAGGGGTTGAGATGATCTTCATTTCCCATGTTTCATTTCTGACACACAACATCTGATGGCTATTGAGTGTGCTCATAGGGCTGTTGCTGTTGATACACACACTCAAACACACTGCTCAGCATCCTATCATTGGTGCCAACCAGAGTTATTAAGGGATCTTATAGTGCAGTTGAGGCTAACATGGCAAAAGACATTGTAGCACAAGTTTTGTGGACTTGGTCAACTTGTATCTGAGGGAGTAGACCAAATCTCCAAAAGCTTATGCTGCAACGTCTTTTGCCCAGTTAGTCTCAAAGGTGCTACAAGATCCTTTTGCATACAGATATTGCAGGCTGGCATAGTGGTTTGAGTGTTGGACTATGACTAAGTCACATGCTCTCATCCTTGAGGAAAGCAATGGCAAATCTCCTATGAACAAAACTTGCCAAGCAAACGCCATGAAAGGACACCATAGGGTTGCCACAAGTCAGAAACAACTTGAAAGTACACAAAAACAACAACTTGGCTGTGTTGCTGAATTCTACCCCAAGAGGAGTTGTTTTTTACCCCTCAAGTCATTTCCAACTTATGGCAGCCATAAGACAAGCCTATCATGGGGTTTTCATGACAAGTTTTGTTCAGAGGGAGTTTGTCTTTGCCTTTCTCTGAAGCTGAGAGATTGTGACTTGCCCAAGGCCACCTAGTGGTTTTTGATGGCTGAATGGAGCTTCAAAATTGGTCTGGTTCAACACTCAAACCACTATCTCATTTTGGCTCTCATATAGTAGACCCATTGAATAATCTAGATTTGTCTACATATTGATTCACCATTCAATAATCAATTTAACTGGTCTACTGTTCTTGGGAATAATCAGTAGTATTCAGGCCACTATTTGAGTTAGGATTGAATAGGATTTGTTTGTTTATGTATTATTGGCACAAAAGTATTTATGTGCAGAACTAATGTATTTTCCCTTTGTGACTTTCAATGAGTGAAAAATAATAATAATCAAAACTGCCACCTTGGATCCCATTTAGGAAGAAAGGCAGGATATAAGTGCAAGAAATAAATAATAAATAAATGAAATCTTCTCCTTGCATTTCCCAGTTTTCTGAGTTAAGACTCCTTCCTTCATTTTCCCTCTGCTTTCCAAGCACTGCAAAAGAAAGGTAAAACTGGAAACTAATTATATAGGTTTGAATCGATTAACACAGACAAAAACGGAACAGACATGAAATGGCCAGGCTGTTCATGAGCCAGTGAGCAGCAACGGGGTTCGATGGCTGTTTGAAAGCTTGGGCAACATCAATTCTGCTTCAAGTGCTCTTTTGGACTTGGCTGGACATGTCTTCAAAGGGAGCAACAAATGCCCGTTCAAAACAAATGAAGCCATTTGCAGTATTTCAGCCCTGACCTCTGAGCAAGATCCTACAATGGCCTTGTATTCAAATTGACACAAAAGCAACTAAATGAATCTTTTCAAGACGACCCAATGGGGAAACCTGCAAAGAAAAGGGCAGTCAGAGCTCTAGCTTTTCTGCAGTTCCCACTTTGAAAACAAAATGAAGCAGAGGCACTCTGCATGTTTTGCTTCTCTCTCTAGTGTTTAACCAAAACCTGACTTCTTTGGTCGTCCTACTGAAGTAGTGGCATAATGGTTTGAGTGTTGGACTACAACTCTGGAGACCAGGGTTTGAATCCCAGCTCAGCCGTGAAATCCACTGGCTGACTTTGAGCAAATCACACTCTCTCAGCCTCATGAGAAGGCAATGGCAAACCTCTTCTGAACAATTCTTGTCAAGAAAAACCCAGGATAGGGTTCCCTTAGGGTCGTCATAAGTCATAAATGACTTGAATGCACACAACAAGAACAACAGTTTGACATTCCATGTAGGGATAGTTCTCTATTCAGAAACCATACAGTTTTGTGAGCACTTCTTTCAAATACTCATGGAGGCTAAAAATACACATACACTGAATTGGTGAGTTTTATGTGAGTGTTGACTCACATAATTTAATAATTTAATTTAATAATTGATTCAGTGGGTCTTCTCTACTTGAGAATGCCAATAAGGGCCAGGTCTAAGGGAGGCCCAAGAAGTATGTGAAGTATGGATTAAAAGAATATTTTGAAGACTGGAGCAAAATGAAGAGAAGTGCTTGAGTGTCAAGAAATCCTGACAAAGAGAATCCTCCTCAAGTCCCTTTCTCCTCTGATGGAGGATACAGTTGCTTGGACTATCCTCATTTTAGTACTCAGGGTTATCTTGTCCAGTGCCCTTCCCAATCCTAGTCTTCTGATTTCTTGACTGCATTCTCCATTCTGGTCTATATTTGATCCAAGGTATGGAAACTTTTTGACTATTTTAATTTTCTATGTAGAGTGAATTCTTGTAGCTCTTCCATAGTCATTATTTTTGTTTTCTTAATGTTTAGTATTAAACCTACCTTGTCGGTTTCCTCCTTGGACTTCTTCAGTGATTGTTTCAGATCCTTGTGAGTTTCTGCTAGTAGTACTGTGTCGTCTGCATATCTTAAAAGGTTAATGTTCTTTGTGCAGAAGATAGTTATTATTATTTGAGCCGGATGATCATGGAAACATGCAGTGGTACAGTTCTACCATGAAATGGCACGATGCAGGCAAAAAGACACAGGACTGAGCAGATAGTGTGCTTCAGTTATTAGCTATTGATCAAGAAGTATGTGCATTTGGACATTTCTTGGTCTAAAACCATGTTTCATAATGACAGAAGGAAAGCACTGAGCTCTGTCCTCCTGCTCACATACTTTATTTGGAAATGGGTGTTCGCAGCCAAGAAGGCCATTTGACATGTTTCTGGGAATAAGATGGAAAAAATTGATTGGAGTAATCAATTTCATAATGAACAGAATTTCAAATACAGAAATAATTAGTTGACGGAGCCCCGAGGCACAGTTCAGAGAAGTTTTATATGCTGCCTATGGAGTCTCTCTGCTCCAAAAAGAGGGAAATTTTGATGTGAAAATGATTTATGTGCTCTAACTGTGCACATTCTTTTATCGTATTAATAACATCTTTAACCGCCCTTCGAAACTTCTGGAGCCTCTCACGCACTCCTGAGGTGCACAGAATCAGATTCACCAAGGCGCTATCAGAAAATTTATTTTCGCTTTAACAACTGGAATCTAATTCCTTCTAATGCAATGTTTGAAAATGTGTTATTATCTAAGTTAATATGCAGTAATCTAATACCCAGTGCAGCAAACACATTGAGATGAAGCATCATTATTAAAAGTGAGCAGGTTGGCCTCTCAAGGCTGATTTCAAAGGACCTTATGCTTTTCCCTTTTGGGTGGTAGCTGTATTACAGACATTGTATATAATCCACCAAGAGGTTGGAACAGTTAAGAGTACTGTGACAAAATGACAAGCAGTAGTAGCTGAAAACTCTATTTCTCTTTTATCCAGTCCTTCATATCAGTGTATGACAGCTTCATAACTTGAGGTTGTCTTGATACCAGTCCTTCAACTGGACATGGACAAAGATCCTACATAGAGGGGAGAAATATGAACAAAGTGATGTAGTAGTTCTGCACCAAGTCATATCAATATAAATTGTGACGTGTATCCTGTATGCTTAATACGCACTCATGCACAATGTACACCTAAGTGCAACCTTGCAGGATGGCACCACATGCTATACTCTACTGTCACAGCCTTGAACAGAATATGGAAGTTCTGCATCAGACAAAACTGTCCAGCCATTTCCATAGATGAATGTATGTATGTATTTGAAGAATTTAGACTTCACACATACCAATAAGGAAGGACTTGATCCACATTCCCCCAGACTAGGGATTAAAATCATTGCTTATTTTATCTTCCCAGAGGAGAACAGCAAGTTTCAAAAGTGTTCTCCCCACTGGGCAAGATAAGAAGAATCTGGGTGCATCTGCAAATTATTTTTCAACTTTTGGACTTTTTGTTTTCTTTTTTAAAAAGAACTTTACTGTAGAAAAGAGACTTTCCCCCCTGTGGAGGAATCTGTGGATATGGATGGCCAAGTGTACTTCTAGTTTCTGTTCCAGTTTAACCAGTAGGATGTCTAAGATTTATTCTGGAAAGGCTGCAGCTTTCTGTTTCCCCACTTACACTGCCTCTCCCTCTCCCATGTTGGTAATATGTATATGGCTGGCATCTTGCTAGAGACATGCATCTGTGTAAGTGTGCCTTAAATGTGTATATGTTGCTTTCTGGATGGGATACAAAGAAATGTTCTCTTCTCCTCGTCATCTGTTTGAAAGCTTTGACCCCAGTCTAGTTGGAGTGGGAAGTGGAAGGAGGAGGATGAAATCCAGACTATGATGATACTGCTCCTCTGGACTCCTAGGGGAAGGAAAAGATGGGTGCACTCCATCCATAAATGCCCCTCATTTCTCCCTTCAACCAAGTTGAGTCCAACTGTACTTTGTGGTCTGAATCATCTTCCTTTTTCCACTAGTAACCAGCAGAACCTTCCCTCCATAGACGTGAGAGAGCGGGGAAAGGATGGGGAACTTTGCAAGGGGAGTGATGCTCCAAAGAATGCTTTAATTAATTTTTAAATAAATAAATAAATACACAAATAAATACATAAATAAGACAAAAGACTGAAAAATAATCTTGCATGTTTCTATATGCCTCTTTTAATCCACCCTCTCTTTTTTTGGAGCAGCTTTAATGTTTTTCATATTCTGGCTGGAGTTGGATAAATCTTTTCAGCTTTAGTGAGTTTGATATGGAGAGTTCTCCTCCTCCTCCTCCTCCTCTTTTTCTTCTTCTTCAACTCTTTTCTGTGTATGAAGATACGTGTATGTGGGAGGGGGAGAGAGAGACTGAATGAAATTTTAGCTTATTTGTGCCGTCCAAATGCAATAGTTGCAGCTATTCCTGGCTAGAGATGTGCAAATCTGTCAGTCTCATTTTGTGTTGATTTTTCCTCATTTCCTTACTGGTATCTCAGTTCTTTCTTCATCCCCCATTAGACTAGGAAGCTGCTTTCCCCCAACTCTATAAATCTATTTTCACACACACACACACACACACACATATATATATATATATATATATATATGCACGCTATCATTTTCAGTTGAAACTATTGCTCATGTGATGTAATTTCCCCATTACTTAAAATGTGTGTGTATGTTTGTGTGCACAATATTGAGAAACAGAAAGCAGAATGATGGAAAACTCCAAATGATGTGGCTCCACTTCAGAAGGATCCATCCATCATAAATCTTAACTTCTAAAGTGAAATAGTTTTCTGGAGCATCCATTTCACATGTGTTTCTATGTCAGACAGAAGGCTGGTTGTTGTGTGGTTTGACACCTGTTTGTTAAACTCTGCTTTCTTGTTTGTCTGTTTTTTCGTTCTTTTGGTCAAACTTGGAGACATGTCAGACTTGGAGACATCTTTCTTTAAAAATGACATATGTTTTTGAGTGAGGGCATCCATGAGGTTTCAGTGCATCACTCCTGTTATGCAGGTGTGCGATCTCTAAGGCTGGATCTACACTGCAGAATTAATGCACTTGGACACCACTTTAACTGTCGTGGCTCAACACTATGGCATTTTGAGATTTGCAGTTTTGTGAGATATTTAGCCTTGTCTGTCAGAGAGCTCTGGTGCCCCAACAAACTGCAAACCCCAGGATTCCATAGGGAATTTAAAGCAGTGCCATGGCAATTTAAAGCGGTGTCAAAGTGCATTAATTCTGCAGTGTAGATGCAGCCTGAGACAGAAAGTGGAGAATGCCTCTCTTAAAAGGCATGCAAGTGCAAAAGTGCTAAATGATTATGTTATGCACACTCTGCCTTTTTGCTTGCTGTAGCTTGCAATATTGAATAATTAAAATGTGATAACTTACTGCGGGACAATGATTATCATCATTTATTTTCCTCCTATCTATTGCCCAAATGCCAAGCAAGCCTCTTTGCTTTTAACTTGATGCTAGTAAGTTATTGCCGAGTTGCAAAAACAAGTGATATTAAGTTGGGAAGAGACCTTATCAGTGTGTGACAGTATCTCTGTGTAGACATGCTCAGGTGTGACGGTGCTTGATATGACAACAGAAATATTGCCAGCACACTCGCAACGTTGTTATAGGAAACAATGGTGAGTGCAATTTTTCACCTCTTTCAACTGTATTAGTTAAAATATTCAATATAGCTCAATGTCTTTGGCTGGAACAGCCCCAATTAATTCTCTGCAGTCCCACTTTCTGAGCTGCTTTTAAGAGATTCCAGTTTTTCCTCCTCTCCCTTTCTACCTTTGTTCTCAGCTCAACTTCGCTTGCGGCAAACTGAGTAAAATGCAAAGTAGTTTGCACCCAATAGACTCAGCAAGGGAAGATGAAAGGAGGGCATGGAAATCTTGTCCTTCCCAGTCAGGTCAAGCAAATGCAAACTGCTGCAGCCTCTCCTGTTCTTTCTCATAAATTAACTTTTTGCTATCTTGACCATACACTGGTGTTGTTCGGCTACCCATGTCCCAGTTTTCAGCTATGAAATATCGGATAGTATGTGATGACTAGGAGAGCCAGTGTGGCATTGTGGTTTTAGTGTTGGTCTACAACTCTGGAGACCAGGCTTCGATTCCCAACTCAGACATGAAGCCCACTGGGTGACCTTGGGCAAGTCACACTCTCTCAACCATTTTTGAACAATTCTTGCCAAACAGAAAACTCTGTT